ATGTCAATTAATTATCTGCCACATTCCCGTGTAAATATCTGTCTTTGGAGGATGTGTTTTTTTTTTTACCACCCCTAGTTCTCTCATTTTTATTCCAAATACAATTTATAATTTGAATCACAGGGCTATTTTTATCTCTATGGTTCAGTATTTTCTCAAGTAGCAACTTTAACTGCTATACTTTCCTGTCTTAAAAGGCAGAACTCTTCTAGTCTAAAAAAAACTTATTTGATGAAATGGGGGGACCTATTGTTTGAACCCCTTAGGGGCTTTTAAAAACAAAAATGTCTTTTTTTGCGCTTTATGAAAAAAAGTCGCCTATATTTTGTGGATGTACAGCTACATTACAGCTACATTTCTCACAAACATTTATTTTTCATATTGCACCAGTACAGTTAATGAGCAACCTGTACTTGTGTGCTTGTTTGTTCTGTCTAAAATGTTTATTTTGGAATAAAGAGGTTAATATAAAAAATATTTTTTGTCCGATTCATCGATTAATCAAAAAAATAATCGTCCGATTCATCGATTTTTAAAATAATCGTTAGTTGCAGCCCTAGTTTAATCTTGAAGCCAAACTGTATTGATGCTGCGTTGATTCTGTCTCACAGAATACTGACACCTGCTGGACATTTAAAGACACTACGGGCAGCTTATTGGACAGATTGAACTGAATTGATTCAATATCCTAGTACAATCGTATAATTTAAGTTATTGTAGGTTATATGGTATTATTTCATATCTATGTTTAAATTGAAAATAGCTTTGATATTTTTAGATGCAGCCAATAAATAATGTAAAAATATAACGTGAAAATTTAGGGTAAAATGTGAATGAGGATGCTTGTCGACTAGGAATTTAAACCATATTTTTAAAACAATAAGTACAGTAAAAACACTAAATAAGCTAAGATTAAATTTGAAATTAACTTCAATTCAGATACGTTGAGAGATAACTGAGGGGAAAAGGATGAGAGAATGAGAAAATTCAAATAAAAACGGCTGAAACATTCATATTCCTTTTTCGCTGCT